ATCATATTTTTCATGACATTAAATTTATAATATATATTTTATTTTGAATGCTAACAACTTTTACTGTTATACATTATTATAATATAGTATAGTGTTTAATGCAATGTAATGTAATTATTATTAATATAATAATTGTATAAATTTTTGCGTAGAGCTTATACCATTCAATTGTTTAATTTTTTCGTAGAGCTAAGTAGACATAAATGTCTATTTTCGTAGAGCTTGTAAAAGTATACAACATAATGATATTAAATTATATTACAAAAATCATTAATGAAAGAGTTATTGCATTAATTTTTTTTAAATAATTCCCATTAAAAATAATCTCGCAATTAATGGTTATTAAAATTTTATTAATATTCATATATCGAGTATCCATATATTCATTGATTAAATGTATATAAAAATTAAAAAATTATTTTCCAATTTATAAACTTTGTTTGAAAAATTGTACAAAAATGTTGAAAATGTTTTTAAATTGTAAAAATTGTAATTTATTAAAATTTGATACTAATTTTTTATTAAATTGATACTTCATTTTCAAACAAATTTTTCAAATTTGTTTTATGGATTCTATGTGTGTGTGTGTGTAGTGTGTGTGTTGGTTTTCAAACTGCGAATTTTGAAATCATGATTTAAGATTCGGTTAGATCAGCAAAAATAAGGTATAGCGGATCACCATTAAAATTTTGATATCTCTTCAGGAACATAGAGAAAATGGCGGCGAAAGTACAAAAAAATTTTAGTTAAAAATTTTTTAATTTAGAATTGAATAGATCACCAAAAGTAAGGTATAGGAATTAAAGTTAAAATTTTGATATTTCTTCAGGAACAAAGAAAATGGCGGATAAATTTTAAAAAAATTAGTTTTAGTTGTCAAAATTAAAGTTAAACATCTAAATGCAGTTAATTACAATATTAAGTTATAACAATAAATTATTTTATTATAAAATGGTAGATAAATATTTCATCACCATAGATATTGCATCATCAAAAATAATGCATGATATATATTGCATCAACAGAAATAGTTTCAATATAAATACTTTTTCACGAACTAACTGTCAAATAATAGTTTAGTAACATAACTAATGGTTATCAGAAATAAATATTTTGCTTATAATATGACAATAAAGTAATTTAAGCAATAAAAAATTGTTTTAGATAATGCTTTCTAGCATTTTCAACTGGTTTTTAATAACATTATATAATTTATTAAATTATTTTTATTATTTAAGACAATAATTACGTTTTGTTAAATAGATTACTAAAATTGTATTAAAAATAAAATAAATTTAAAACATTTATTATTTTTAATGATATCTTTAAATGACGTAAATATCACAAACTTTTAATTAAAAATGTTTTACACATTTCTATAAATGTATTGTATATTTACACTAATAAGTAAATAGTGATAAATTTATACAATAGTAATAATATAAAATGTCATTATATTTAATTAATATAACATAAAAAAATTTCTATACAATGTGTAAATATTAGGTAATATTTTTTGTTATGTTTAATAATTGAATTAGTTTTATTAAAATTATTTCAACAATAAAATGTCAAATAAATTGTGTGAAGTTTGTTATGATAAATCAATTGGTATAATTCATATATAATATATTTAAATTTAAATATTATAAATTTTAATGTTTTAAAAAAAAAACTCTAAAATATAGGTCGAAACTTTTCCGTAAATTCATGTAATTCATGTAAAATATTTTTTAGAAGACAGATATTTGATAATAAGGTAATATAAAAATAATTATTGTAAATAATAAAAAAATTTATTATATTTTTTTGAATAAATTGTTTAAACATTTATAATATAGCAAAACATATTGATTTGTCCATCAAATGGACAGTGCGTTATAAATATGAAAACTCGACGCTTATGTCGAAAGTGTCGATTCGATAAATGTCTGGCCGTAGGAATGAAACCGGTATTCAATAATAATAAGACATTAATAATATTTTTAATGATTTTAATTAATTATTATTTGAAATAAATAAGGAGTTGGTTCACAATGAAGAAGAATGTCTATTAAGAAATAAATTTAATGAAAATATTAGTAAAAATAAATCAAAACTTAAGAAAAACAAAGATTTAGTAATCAGTAATAATAATAATAATAATAATTCTAAAATAAGTAATAATAATAATTATTATTATGAAACATATACCCTTGAAAACATTGATGATGTCAATGATTGGCAATTAATTGATGATATTATTGGTAATACTACTAATAAAAATATTATTGTCTCTAATGATAATAACAAATTCAAAGAGACTATTATTAGTTTACTATCAAACGAATGTCCAATTGTGCCGATATTTAGAGAGCTCAGTGATGTTTGCGGTTTAAATCAATTGCAAATTCAGTATATATCGGATCTTATAGAAGCCAACAAAATATATTATTTGCCATTAAATGAAAATGTTATCAAAATTATAGATAAATGTGAATTAATTGACAAATTTTACGGAGAAAATGGCGACAAAAGCATCAAAGATATAGTCGGTTGTATCAAATCGATGGCCAGTTTTAGGAGTATGTGTGCCAATGATCAGTGGGTTCTCACTAAATATGGTTGCATTGAATTTATGCTTTTGAAAAGTTGTATAACTTATTATAGCGAATCAAATCAATATTTAATACCTTATGTAAGTATTTAATTAGTAAATTTATTTTAATATTTAAATATTTAACCATTTTTTATACCAGTATCAGTTTAATTTATTTAATATATATATTTGTATTATTATTATTATATAATTATATATTTATATTTATTATTATTATTATTATAATAATTTAGGATAATCAAAAAACTTTAAGTATTGATTTTGATGTAATGTTGTCGGTTGACAATGAATTGCATAGAGATTTTTATACCGATCAAGAAAGTGATAATTTTATGAATTTTTTAAAACGATTAACATGTGAATGGGATCGGGATCCCATAATCATGGAATTGGTTTGATTATTTTATAAAATGTATCAACAACAAAAATGTAATATACAACCTTATCAATTTTAATTTATTAATAGATATCAGCCATAGTATTATTTAATCCAAATCGACCTAAACTTGAACATCAAACAGTTGTTAAGTGTGTTAAATAATATTATTTTTAAAAATATATATATATATTAATATATAATTTATTAACTTTTTATTAACAGACTTCAACAACAATTGTATATTTATCTATTGCAACGATATCTGTCAGTAAAATACCAGAAACCCTATGAATGTCAATCAAAAGTTGCAAAATTGATGCAATTAATTAATGAATTAAATTTATTATGTGATTGTTTAAGGACTAACATAACACTCAATAATGGTATTAATTATAATTTTGTTCGTCATTTCGGACCATTAATGAGAGAAATGATAATTAATTATCAATTTTAATTGTTATACAATTTTTTTTTTAAATTATAAAAATTTAGCAAATATTTGCTGTAGATGGCAATTAAAATCATATTATTGATGCTAATTATTAATAAATAAAATATATGATAAGATAATATAATATATAGTAATATTAGCTTCAAATATAATTGTGCAACAAAATGGTAAATAATCTATTTTTAAAACATTTTGTTAAATTATTTCTATAAAATAATATTTAATAAAATAAATTTGTTTAAAACATTAAATGGCAAACAAATTTTGTGAGGTTTGTGGTGATCAAGCATTCGGTAATATATTGTTTAATACAGTATTTTTAATGTTAGTTAACATAATAATAAAATACTAATAAAATATTGATTATAACGTACAGGTCGTAACTTTTCTGTTAATACATGTTACTCATGTAAATCATTTTTTAGGCGACAAATATTTGATAAAAAGGTATCTATGAAAAAAAATATTTATTTTTAGTTTAATTAATTTTTCACAAAAATTTTGTAAACAAGCAAATAAAATGTAAATTTAATGAACACTGCATTATAAATGTCAAAACCCGAAGCTTATGTCGAAAGTGTCGACTCGACAAATGTCTTGTCGTAGGAATGAAACCGGTATTTAAGTACAAATTAATAATTTATATTTTAATTTAAAATATTTAATTACATTACAACAATTTAGATATTTTTTTATTAATTAATTTTTATTTTTTTTATTTTAATAGGAATTAGTTCTCAATAAAGAGGAACGACAGTTAAGGAAGAGTTATATTGAAAATAACCGAAAAAACAAATCATTATTTTCAGAAAATAACAATTCAATAGACATAACAAACATTGTGTTAGATATCAGTGATGATAGGTATCAAATAGATAACATTGACAATACTTGTAGTGATCGGAAAATAATAGATGAAATAATTAACAATAAAGTTACTATTGCTGAAAATAATAGTATAAATAATACTATAAATCAATTACTAACTGATAGACCAGTAGTTCCCATATTTAAAGAGCTTAACAATGAAATAGGTTTAAATCAATTACATTGTAATCGTATCTCTAATCTTATTGAAGCCAATAAAACATTTTATTTGCCGTTCAGTAATGATATTATCAACTTTTCCGACAAATCTCAAGTGATCGACAAGTTTTACTATGAAAATGGCGATGAAATTGTCAAAACTTTGGTCAGTTGTATCAAATCGATGACCAGCTTTAAGAGTATGTGTGCCAATGATCAGTGGGTGCTAACTAAGTATAGCTGTTTTGAGATATTGGTTTTGAAACTATTAATATATTATAATAGTCAAACACATAGTTTTGCGATAACATATGTAAGTAAATATAATATGTAATTAAATTAAAAATGAAATATAATATACTTATTACTACTTAATATACAGTACTTATAATTATTGTATTACTAATGAAACTTAATTTTTAAATATAAATTAGGGTAATCAATCAGCAACAATCATAGTAGATTATGAGCTATTTAATTTGAGCACTGAGTACCATGGACAATTTATAAATAACTTTCAACTAAATTTAATGGATATTATGCTTAAACTGTCACATATGTGTACAAGAGATGCAATAATAATAGAATTGGTATTATTATTATTATTCTGTATTTATTTATAAACATTTTAAAATGTTTTACTAAATTAGTATATTTTTTTGTTATTGAATATTAATTATATTTATTTATTAACTATTAGTTATCAGCGATTGCATTGTTTAACCCAATTAGACCTCAACTGCTACACACAAATGTTGTAAAGTAATCAATTTAAAATAATAATAAAAATACTATTAATTAATTTAAATATTTTATAACTATTGAATAGTAAAATAATAATATGTTTAATTTAACTAACATTTGATTGATATTTCTAAATATTATAGACTTGAACAACAAATGTACATTTATTTGTTACAAAGATATCTATCAATGAAATATTGTAAAACCAATGAATCGCAAAAAGTAATTTCAAATATAATGCAATCAATGTCTGAATTATGCAAACTCTGTGATTGTTATCGAAATAGTGACCAAAACTGCAATGTTTACAACAATAGATATTACGGTCCATTAATGAAAGAAATATTATATGAAAAATAATTAATGTTTTATAAATTATAGTTACATCTAAAAAATAATAACATTAATATCAAACTATATTATTAGTTAGTATTATCTTAATTTAATAAATATCAATATTAAAATTTCTTTATAAAAATTTCTTTTTGATTAATTTTGATGCTTTTTTAACAAATAACTTATATTTAAATTATAAGTAAATCATATTTAATTTTTTAAAATATTATTTTTATTAATTTGTCTAATAAAACTTATATAAAATAATATTATATTTATAAATTAGGAAAAGAAATCATTAGTTTTGCAAATTTATTTTATAAAATTTTCTACATTAAGACATTAATTTTAATATAATAAAAATATTTACTATTTTTAAATATGATCCACTAAAAATAAAATTTAAATAATTATATCAAATTTAATTTAATAGTAGCTATCAAGACATTTAACTAATATATTTTATTTATTTAACTATAATAACCAATCTTTTGTAATTCAAAAATTTTAAATTTAATATATAATATATAATTATAATACAGAAATAATAGAATATTAATTCTACTTATTATTAAAATAATTCATTATATTTAATTAATTTATTATAAATTACATATTATGTTATTATCATATTAGTGCAGTTTTCATTTATGACTTAAATCTATAAAAATATTATAGTTTTGTAATTTCTATTTAAATAATTTTATTTACTTATTAATAATTTACAGATTATATAATTATTAAATAATAATAAAGAATTGATAATATATTTCCACATAAAAGCCTATAAACGCCGCACTCATACCTATAGCATACACACCCAATGCTATCTTCATTTCATCCAAATTCATATAATCCCTGTCCTCTTGATGTAGTATTTGTTGTTTTTGTTTATTGTCTTGAGTTAATTGTCTTATTTTCATATAACCAATAAAATTTAATTTACTATTTATTCCTGTTTCTAAAATGCTTTTAGATCTAATATAATTTTTAAAAATAGATTAATTTATTTATTATTAGTATATTTTGTATTATATTATATTTTATATTTACTATTATTAAATATATAGATATTAATTTCTTAAAATGTTCAAATATTAAACAAAATTTAGTATTGGTATGTTTGGACTCACATTTGTATATATTGTTTAATTATTGTTGAATTGCTATAAGATTTAGGTATAAGTCGTGCATAACATTGTTGGAAATACATATCACTCGACAAATGCAATGATTTATCGTTTATTTGTGTCATTACAACTTTATTAGCTGTATGTTCAGTGGTTATCATAACTGATTGTCTATCAATTATTGAATCTATAGTTGTGTCGAAATGATATCTAATAAAATCAATTGTACCCTTATTGTAAACTTTTGACACTTTAGCAATTATTTTATTTTCAATAGGTATAGCTTTAAGCTGAGTACCAAAAATAGTTTAAAAAAATAAATAAATAAATATTGTTTGTAATAAAAATAAAGTAAAATATCAATTAATACCTTAATTGCTTCAATTTCTTCATCTAATAACAATATTATAATTTTAAGTTTATTTTGTTTATCCAAATCATATAACGAATCAATTGTTGTATGCGTTGTCTGTATAGTTGTCGACATTATTTCATTACTAATGAAATTCAATATAAAAAATTTGCCAAAAAATAGACTGCCAAATATCATTATTTCTTTTATTATCAAATTTTTACGATGAATTTAATTAATATCTATATTTTATAATATTTATATAGAAATTGTATTATTAAAATATAAATGTGAAAAAATTAACTTACTCATTAAAAACAAAGCATTTATGATAAACCATATATTATATAAAAATGTAGTAAAAGTATATGAAAGTGAACTATAATAACAACAGTCAATAAAATATAGATATAAATAAATTTATATATAATAGACATAATTTTATATTCTGTATTTTGTAATATATAAAATTAGTTTTTTTAACATTTAATTGTTTATACAATATATTATTATATGAGATTAGTAAATATATGATACATGCTTATTATAAATTAACTTACTATGAATTGTATTGTTTATTAATAATTATATAAAATGAATTGATTGTAGTTAATAACGCAATAAACAAAATCGTTATACTTATAAATATCCAAAACTATTAAATAAATTTTATTATAAATATATATATAATTAAATAATAGATATAAAAAATATTAATATAAATAAAAAAAATCTAAAACCTTTAGTTCAAATATTTTCCAATAACCAAACAAATCATTTGTTTGTTTTATAGGATAATTACTACCAATAATTGAAATACTTCTCGATATAAATGGGTTTAATTGATCAGCAAATTGAATAATCTGTTCGTTTAGATTAATTATTTCTAATGATATGTCGGCCATCTATTAAATATAATAATTTTGAATTTAATTTTTTGAATATTTATATATATATAAATAATAATTTCTTTATGTATTAATTATTGAAATCTAAAATTACTTATGTTTAGTTTGTAATACCAATTGACTTAGTATTGTAATTTGTTGGCCACATAACATTTTAATGGTGTCTGTTATTGCTATTAATATAAACAAAATATTATTTTATTTTATTTAATATATTTAGTTATAATAATTTTTACAGTACAGTATAAAATACTACTATATATAGTAATATTGCCAATTGGTTTAATGATTTCAAAACCTAATGTGTTTGGTTTTGAAACATCAATTGTATTACATTGAAAGTTAACACTATCGCCATTCATTGTCATTATTTTCTATCAAATCTTAGTAATTATTTTTAAACAATTTAAAAAAAATAATATATATTTTTAAATATATGAAAAAGATATTAAAAATAATGTTTTATTGTAACAAGTATTTATTGTTTTATTAACTTCTTAAACTTATATTTAAATTGTAATATGATTACTCTTTTCAATAAATAGGTGATTTTTAATTTTTTAGTTTATTTTAATTAAAATAATGTTATTTTTTGATGACTTTTAACGTTATTTTAACTATTTTTAATCAATAATTAGATTTTTATAAATATTAAAAACATAAAAACACTTATTAAAATAGTATCAACTAAAATTAAAATTTTTATAAATTTCAAAAAAATTTTCGGCGACTTCGGCGCCGAAATTTTAGGGGGGGGGTCATTTTTAAGCGACAATTTTTCAATTTGGTCAAAAAGTCAGGGGGGGTAAAATCCCAATTTCTCGATCTTAGGGGGGGGTATTTTGGCCTTACCCCCTACCCCCCCTACTTAACCCTGATATATATATATATAAAGTTATATATATATTAGGATATACCGTAGTATATTTGTATATAAATATTATTATTATACTGTATCTAGGGTTAGATTGAGATTCCCAGGGAGGGAAGTTCCCAAATAAAATCCCTCCAATTTTCCCGGAAAATATGGAAAATATATTATATTCCCTCCCTTGATCGTTAGAAAGGGAAAATATAATTTGTCATACATTATAAAGTACCTAATCTCAATGACTATGTGTTTCAATTGGGACCAGTATGTTAGTAATAACTCAATCAAAATATGATTCAAATATTATTAAACATTTAGTAAAAACATTAAATACATTTTGTAGTCATTTACTATACAAACGTGTTTTTAATTAAACATTATGTAATGTGAGTTATGGTACTATAGGTGGTACCACAAGGAAATGTCTTCCCAGGGAATTCCCAGGGAAGAGGGAATATAAGGAACTTATGGAAAATAAGACGAGGGAGGGAATCTGATCTAACCCTAACTGTATCTAATAATATGATATAAATATGAATAGAAATTTATTTAAAATACATTTAAATAAAATTACTTTCAGTTTAAGTGTTTCGGTTGAGTTTATAAAATAATTATTATAAAATTATATTTTTTTCTAAATAATTTAATATTTAATTTAATAGATACTTATAGCTAAAATTATTAAATCATATAATTTATATTAATATTACTAAATTATTTATTTAGTTATCATATAATATCTTATTAATTAAAATTAAATAATTTATAAAATATTTCCACATAATAGTTAACAATCGCAGCACTGATACCCATAGCATACACACCCAATGCTATCTTCATTTCATCCAAAATCATATAATACTTGTCCTTTTGATGTCGTATTTGTAGTTTTTGATAAATTGCTTGTTTTATTTGGGTATTATTTATTTTATCAAATATTTCAAGGTATTTATGAAAAAAATATTTATTTTTAGTTTAATTAATTTTTCACAAAAATTTTGTAAACAAGCAAATAAAATGTAAATTTAATGAACACTGCTTTATAAATGTCAAAACCCAAAGCTTATGTCGAAAGTGTCGACTCGACAAATGACTTGCCGTAGGAATGAAACCGGTATTTAAGTACAAATTAATAATTTATATTTTAATTTTAAATATTTAATTACATTACAATAATTTAGATATTTTTTATTAATTAATATTTATTTGCTATTTTAATAGGAATTAGTTCTCAATAAAGAGGAACGACAGTTAAGGAATAGTTATATTGAAAATAACCGAAAAAACAAATCATTATTTTTGGAAAATAACAATTCAATAGATATAACAAACATTGTGTTAGATATCAGTACTAGTGATGATAAGTATCAAATAGATAACATTGACAATACTTGTAATGATTGGAAAATATTGTATGAAATAATTAACAATAAAGTTAGTGTTACTGAAAATAATAGTATAAATAATACTATAAATCAATCACTAACTGATAGACCAGTAGTTCATTGAATTAGTAAAAGAAATCATTAGTTTTATAAAATTTTCTACATTAAGACATGAATTTTAATATAATAAAAATATTTACTATTTTTAAATATGATTCACTAAAAATAAAATTTAATTAATTATATCACTATTTAATTTAATAATAGCTATCAAGACATTTAACGAATATATTTTATTTATTTAACTATAATAATCAATCTTTTGTAATTCAAAAATTAAA